GAGCCAGGTATCTGAATGCTTCATTTACTGCATCAATTTATATATGTAATTTAGTTAATGGTTGAACTAAACATCTAATAAACTCAAAAATGGCATTTCCCAAGGATGAGAATTTTCCCTGAGGTCCATTCCACCTGCATTATGGCAGATAGCTGTGCAAACCAAAGTCCATGAAGCAGACCTTCCCAAGCACTCCAATGCAGATAATGGAGATTCACATTTCCAAACATTAAAGTTGTACTAACATCACACTTCAGAATTGCATAGTCATTTCCTCCAAGTTTTCAGTTTGTAGACTGACTAATACTGTATGCTTTACACTGGCACAACAATTTCTGGCTACTGTCATTTTTAATCATTTTCGTATTTGCTGTTCAGTGAAACAGAAGCAGCTCTTATACTGAGCTAGATCATTGGCCTATACAGATTAGTATTCTCAATTCTGATTTATTTATTATTTATTTCCTATATTTATATCCCGCCCTTCTCACCTCTGGGGGGTGGGGGCTCAGGGTGGCAGCGACTCTCTAAAATTTACAGATGTAATTCTTACCTGTAGCTCTCCTTGAAGAAAGAAACATGTAATTTTCTTCCACTGCACTGAAGACTATTTCACAACTCAGGACTATTTTAAGCAAAATTGACATGTGTTTGTTTTGTACAGAAAATTTTATTTTCCAAGCAGGAAAAAGAATTTAAAAATGAGTCTGATACCTACATAATTTTGTTTGTCATGCATCTGCTAGTTAGCCCTTGTGTTTGGGGAAATAATATAAACATTCAATAAATTATTAAAATAGATATGATATTTCTAGTGTTTACCTCCACAAAATGGGAACACAACTGGACTGCAAGTCACTGTAACTGGACAGCTCAGGCAATCTCCCTTTTATGCTGAACAGCAAAAGTTGTTTGTTTGTGTTTTCACTGTCTAAAACATTTACACAACTTTAAATGGCAATTGCCAGCAAGCAGCTGCCAAATCCAACCCATCAGTTTAATTGCTAATTATTAGTGTGGGTTCAAAGAAAGTATTTTCTTAAAAAATGCAGAAGGGCTATTAAGCATCTGTAACATTTGTAGTTTTAAACTAGAGACTTAACTAAGGGAAAATGCACCAGAATTTACTGTAAGTAGTATTCACAATTAACTAAACTTATTTTTTTCCTGCTGGTGCCATGAAATTATGACTGAGAAAGACTCAAGAGACAGCGAAAAAGCCAATGCACCAACCAAGCAAAATTTGATCAATGAATTTAAACAAAAATCCAAATGGAAAACAGACTAAAAATAACAGAAATATCAGATATCATTGTCATTTTCTATTTAAAGTCTCCTACTTGAAGTATTCTAATAGTTTCTACAGTATTTTATGGAAAATGTATGCATCCCAGTAAAACATTTTTATTGAGGAACTAGCTGTCCCCTGCCACGCGTTGCTGTGGCCCAGTCTGTTGATCTGAAAAATAGAGTAATGAGGAAGTGTTGGTTTCTGATATATGTTGTTTCTTTATGCTTATGGGTAAACAGTATTTCTTGCTGTTTCTTTGTCAGTGTTGATGTGGAGAGTTTCTATTTTGCCCACCCTGGAACATGCAAGATATCATTGTCCTTCTTTAAGGGTCCCTTTCAAATCTATGATACTATATCTCTCTGTGTGTGAATCATATCTATCTATCTATATCTATATCTATATCTATGGCTGGATGGCTCTGTGTGGGAAGTTTGCCCCGATTCTGTCGTTCGTGGAGTTCAGATTGCCCTTTGATTGTAGGTGAACTGTGAATCCCAGTGACTACAACTCCCAAATGTCAAGGTCTATTTCCCCCAAATGCCATCTGTGTTCATATTTGGGCATATTGAGTGCTTGTGCCAAGTTTGATCCAGATCCATCATTGTTTGAGTCCACATTGTTCTCTGGATGTAGGTGAACTACAACTTCCAAACTCAAGGTCAATGCCCACCAAACCCTTCCAGTATTTTCTGTTGGTCATGGGATTTCTGTGTGCCAAGTTTGGTTCAATTCCATCGTTGATGGAGTTCAGAATGCTCTTTGATTGTAGGTAAACTATAAATCCCAGCAACTACAATTCCCAAATGACAAAATCATAATTTTTTGACTGATGGTCACTCCTTGTGTTGTGAGACGGTTCTTTTTTTTTTTTTTTTGCCAAATGTGGTGTGATTTCATTCATTAGTTCTTTTGTTTTCAAGGTACTCATTATGCACAGAGCATTTTAGATAGATAGATAGATAGATAGATAGATAGATAGATAGATAGATAGATAGATAGATAGATAAATTCATTTTTACTCAAAATGAAATATTTTATTAACCTGGTAGGCTGGCTTCTAGTGGGCATTCACCAAATGCTTTTCTGATCTGGTTTTACTAAGATAAAAATGTTCTTAAAAATGTACAAAACAAAGCCCCCTGCCTCAATGTGTGTTGCTTCCACTGTAAGTCAGGGTAAACTCATTTCAGTCTACATATGGCTGGAATGAGAATTTGCAAAGTAAATACTGAATTAGGAAACACCTCGCTTTTGAGATTAATGAAAATTAAATATTTGTATAATAAAGTTAGATAGCCGTGTTTCTAAGAATTGCTCACCCTGAGTTCTTTTAAGAAAGCAGTGAAGTATAGATATGAAAGCAGAAGAAAGAATTCATTATTATTATGAATGTCAATCGGGTAAATATAGCATTAAATACTTTATTCCCTCTTTAATTAAGGCAAACTTAGCCACATATATTCTCTATTCATACTGGTAAAAAGTGAAATGGAATAGTTACACAGATCTCATCTACCACCATGGGATTGCATTTATCCTGTCAAAAGGTTTATTTAGGTAAAATAACTGTTTGTTTGACTGCAGACAATTTCTCTGGATTAAAGGCCATTACTAGCAGTGCACTTCAGGTTTGACAGATTAATGGATCCACATGGTACAGCTCTTAAGTTCAAGTGTCTGTCAAGAGAAATAAATATCCAACTTTGAATTGTGAAGTTTGAGAGGAAAAAACCCAGTTTACTTCAATTTCTTCTGCAGTGCCCAAAGAAATGCTAACAATGGACTTCAGAATCCAACCAATTATCACAGGTTTCTGTTAGAGACATTTAGAAAATGAATACAGAAAAGCTAAGTAATGCACCTGAAAGGCAATAGTAATAGTAGCCAGAGTCTGAAAAGTTACGTTTTTGGATAACAACTTCCAAAATTTCCCAGTCTGCATTAAGAAGTTATCCAAAATTAATTTTCCCATGCTTTTCACATTTTCATAGAAAAGAATTGGAGCACATGTTACCGAGCTGCTTTAGTTGTGGTCAAGATTGGAAAGAAATATTGATGAGTAGAAACACATAAGATAGGAGATGCTGCAGCAGTTTGTATTTACCAGAGTCTTCAGGAAACAGTAAGACTCTGTCCTCTCCACTTCCCAAACTTCTTTTGAACTTAAGAGCTCAGTTTGCAACAATTAAAGTAAGTTAAGGGTAAAGAGAGAAAGTGATAAGAGGACACGGAAACTGGGACACTTTAAAAACAGTTGAAAAAACCAAACTGGGACAGATGGAGAGGGTATGTTTTTAAGCTAGATGAAGCTAAATTAATGCATTGCTATCACAAGCTCCGGTTATAGCTATGTTTATACAGCAATCTGTTTTTGATAGGCAATAATGACAAGGTTCTATTAATGACAAGGTTCTATATCTATCCAAGACAATTTGTTGCCTGAAGGGCATAATAAGATTTATTTTTGGAAACCACTTGGGGTCCCTTTGAGTATGGGAGAAAGATGGCATATACATTAATTAAATAATTAAAATAAAAAATAAGTAAAATAAATGAATAAGATTGCATTTCCTCCGGTTCCATTTCATCTACACCAGTAGTTCTCAATCTATTGGTCCTCTAGTTATGTTGGGCTTCAACTCCCAGAAATCCCAGCCAATTTGTAAAGCTGTAAAGAATTGTGAGAGCTGAAGTCCAAAACACCTGGAGGACCAAAGGTTGAGAAACATTGATCTACATCAATGTTTCTCAACCTAGGTTCCCCAGATGTTTTTGGCCTCCAACTGCCATAAATCCCAGCCAGTTTGAGAACCAATGGCCTACACAGATAAGCTGATATGAAATCTAATTTCACTACATTGTCAACAACAGCAAGTGCATCTGAACTGAAGTTGGTAAGCAAACTTAAGATACTGGGCAAGGATAGCTATATGAAGTCAGGATGAATGGTAGCAGGAAGGATACTGCTATTGACTCATCCGCCGGTTTCAGTGGTAACTGCCTCACTCTGCCTAATGACAGAGCCAATCTTGTGAATAATAAAAGTAGTACAAAGTGGAGTTTCATCTAGATTTTCAACATCCACCTTTACTAAGAAGCCTTAATTTCTGAACTGAACTGGAGTTTAAACAGAATGACACTTAGACACCAGGACTTTTTAATATTATTATTATTGCTCAAATTACTTGGCACATTTAATGGAACAATTATAATAAGATTCTGCTACTAACAACCTTTACTTCTCATAACTACTTCAGAAACCATTTTTAAAAAATCAAATAATACAGAAAAAAAACTCCACAAGTAGCCTTTTTTTCTTGACCTCAGTACATGACTGTACAGCTTCTGAAGGAATCTTCAAGAGCAAAAGAGATATATTGGAGTAGGGTAAACATGTTTAAAATAACTCAGTTTGATACAATCAATTTTCTTTCACACTTTCTCATTGTTGAGGATATCAACAATTTAGGAAACAGACTAGGCATGAAATTCTGGGTTAAGGTTAACCAGTACAGATCTCTACATGGCTGAAGAAGTATGCAAAGAATGCTTGCACAACATTATCCTTGTGATACAAAACTCCAAGAAGTCATATTCAAAGGTAAGCACTGATATTTGGTACTGCTGACTTTGGTGGCAGATTATTATTCAAACAGTGTAAGAGTCAAGCAGATATAATAAAAATATACTAAAATAAAATACTTACATGCAATACGAACATAAGCTTTTCTGCTCTTAGTAGTGCCAGCCGAGCTCCAGGCAACACACTGACACCAGTAATCTTCAGGGCCAAAGAGTTCTTCAACTTGCTGGCGTGAAATCTCAATGCTTACTTCTCGGACAATCAGTCCTACAAAAACACAACCAATACTTTCATGTTTATTTCAGAACATGGAGATGCCATGCCAATGTCAAATGCAATAAATAAAAATCAGAAGACTTGCAAGAGTAATTGAGTCCTGCAATTTCAGCAAGACTACAAGTCTGATCTCATGCATCAAATGTCAATGATTCATATAACACAACACATGTGGATAATAAAAGAACAGGGGTCCATGAAATGACTAGGGTGGAAGGGGAATTATTCCTCTTTGCCATGGCACTTCTATTTATCCTGTGGGGGGGTCTGAATTTACTACACCAGTGTAACCATTCACAGCCTTGACTTTTAGTATATTTTGCTCAAAGTCACTGTCTCCTCACACCTATCCCTTGCGTCTAGGGTTTTTGTTTGTTTGTTTTTTGTCGTGTCAGGAGCGACTTGAGAAACTGCAAGTCGCTTCTGGTGTGAGAGAATTGGCCGTCTGCAAGGACGTTGCCCAGGGGATGCCCGGATGATTTGAGGGTTGTGGGGACATGAGAGAAGCCTCCCACAAGGATGATAAAACATCAAATCATCCAGGCGTCCCCTGGGCGTCTAGGGTTGAAAAACTTAAGAAAGTGTCAAGTATTTACTTTCTGTGCATCTTTTGAAAATGTGAAACTGCACTTCTCCCAAGAATCTAAAACATATCTTATTTCTATTTAGATGTTCCACTGCATTCTGGCTCAATACTATGGAATCATGGAAGCTGAAGTTTTACAAGGTCTTTAGCCTTCTCTGCTATAGAGTGTTGGTACCTCAGGATTTCATAGCATTGAGGCATGGAAGTTAAAGTGGCGTAAAATTGCATTAATTCTACATTGTAGATACACTTCATGTTAGATAACTCTAAAACATTAAAAAGAGGTTAAAATATTATTTTCCAGAATTTACTCCCATATACATTTTGCCAAAGGACAATACAAATTCTGTGTGTAGACTCACAGTAACTTCAAAGTGATGTTACTAGAACTTTATGCTACTTTCATTATTAAAAAAATATATATTAAAAATGCATCTAAATTACACTGTTTGGACAGGCAAATAAAATGGTTATATATTATGCCCATTTTTCCAGTCTGAACTAACAGAACAGAAGTCTGTGATGTGTATGTAGATGAATTACAATCCTCTGACAGCAAACTGAATTCATCTCTGCACAGCTGTTTCCTCTCTGCCTGTCCTATGCAAGGTCATATTGTTAGCACAAGTATCCCTAATTGCTATTTGTGTTCTACAGCTGAAATCAGCCAAATCCTTTATTTTTGCCTCCAGTCTCAAAGAGGTTTCAGTGAGGTTATCAGCAATTAATTATTGTTTCCCTACAGTTGCATGCAGCCACTTAGGAGGAGGATGTATGCCAATTCTATTAAGAACAACAAACAAAAATCTCAGTATAATATTAGAAAACCTAAAATACATGAATACTACTGTTCAAACTGGTAGCTGGGGAAATGTGTTGATTTGAAACCTTTTTCGTACTTAGAGGGTTATTATTTTAATATTATTAGTTTCATTTTCCTTGACATTTTGCACAGATTAAATTAGGAACTGTTGTGAACTCCACATACTAGTATTTAACTCTGAAATGAACGAACCAAGATGGAGAGAGATTATATATTGGTTTGGGGGGGGGGGGGGGGGTTGCCAGCATGCCTTCCTTTATTTGCCTTCTATCTGAATTCTAGCAAAGAGGTCAGAGGATTTCCCCTGTCCAGTTTCTAGCATGGGGAAACAAACTAATCAATTTAAAGTATTGGCAGAAGCTACATAAGGAAAACAATTTAGCCTTAACCTGGCACGGTGCAAGATGTTCCTCCCAATCCAATTTGTAAATTAGATCTTTTACATGCCTGGGTACTTTTAAGAAGATTCTAAAACAAATCCACCCGTTTAAGGCTATGCATCAGGAAGAGCCTTTATATCTTTTCTCTTTAACTGTGTCTACCAGTCAGGATTGAGATCAGAGCAAAACTGGGATGAAGGGGAGATGAGAAGGATATTCAGAGACTGTTTCTATCTAAGGTAGCCAGAAAGGGTCAAATCCATTTCTTTTCATTGCATTCCAAACATATGCAAAGTTTTGAACATTTGATGCCATGTGTACTTATAACACAGAGCTTGTGAATCTATACATCTTTGTTTCACTCTTTGACTCAACCCAGGGCCCAAAATGCATGAGCTCGTGCACTTTTACCTGAGGTGTCCAAACGGCACCTCAGGTAAAAGCGAATTAATTTGGGACAAAAAGGAAAATCCTGCTTAGTCCCGAATTAATTACATACTGGATTAGACCCAGGTCTCCCTAAGGACCTGGATCTAATCCAGTATGTGCCGTGTGTAGACTGTCCTCTTGGAAGTCTTGGGACTTCTGTGGGGGCAATCTTCACACCTCTCTTGCATTTTCCAGGATGAATCAGCTAGGAAAACCCTGAGGGCTGTAAACCTCTCCCCCAAACCCATTTTAAAACCCATTTAAAAATAAAACTGCTTAATTGGTCACCATTCCCTCTTCACCGGAGCTCTCCTGGTACATAGAAATGATATGCCAGTAGAAGAAAAATTGCCCTTGCCCCACCCTCCTTCCCCTGGTGTGTCATTTCTACATGCCAGGAGAGCTCTGGAGAAGAGCGACTAGAGGCCAGGTATGTTATTTTATGTTTCAAGGGGTTTAAAGGGAGGGCATATGGGTGTATCCATACCCTCCCGGAAGGTTCCAGGAGGGCATCTAGACATCCAGTGGTAAAAGTGTAGGTTTTTCAGACTGGTGGGGGACAAAAGTCCACCCTGACCTGGGTTGTCTTTCCCTATGTGGAACCAGCCTGACTTTCCCAAAACCAGCAGAGGTCCTGTTGAGCAAAATAGGGGTTTCTTGAATCAAGAACTAAATCCTATTTCCTGAGAGTAAGCCTTTTTGTATTTAATCTTTATATCATTACACCATGTGCTTTCAATCCTATACCCACTTCAGTGGGACTTATCAATGAGTCGACCTGTATTGGATTGTGCCATGAAGAAAAAGAAAACAAACTCTACATGTAAGCCATCTAATCTTTTTGGTGGTTCCTAAGGGCATGTAATAAGTATTTATATTCTTTACAGATGTAGCTAGAGAGGGGAAAACATAGCTGCAGTGAATTCCACTGCCATGTGAGTGATAACAACTGGACTGATGTGATGGGGAGACTTATTTCTTTTGTTTTTGCAATTCCAAGAGGAGCAAAACTGGAACAAGAACAATACATTTTGGAGGTGAGACAGGGATTCGGTGTATTTTGATTGTATTTTGATTATATTTCAAGTAGAAGTTCTGCCTAAGTTAATCTTTACCTGTTTGCACAGACCTAGCAGCAAAAGTATAATAGCTGGGACCCTATGCTATGCTAGTTGTGCAACGCGGCTCAGAATGAATGAAGGGAAGATGTGTGCAAGACAGTGGAGAGAATGAGAGATGCAGGTCTGACAGGATAGCAGTGAAGTAATTTAATTCAGGTGGGAGAGGATAAGGGTGAAGTAATATAAGACTTATTTAATGCTAATGATAAACAACAGCTTACGAAGACGGTAAACAGGGTAGAAATGTTGCCTCTCTCCATTTCTGGTGAACAATGTTGCCATGACTCTGACCCAGCTGTGTCTCTCACTCGCTGCACTGTCTCGTGCATGTGTTCCCCTCATTAATTCAGACCCACATTACGCAATCAGTGTAGGGTCCCAGTTATCATACTTTTGGATATGCAATCTTTGAAAAATAACAGCAGAACATTTTGATTCATTGAAAATAACTGCAGTAAGACTCTAGTCATATAAATCCAAGAATGACCGTGTTAACTAATGGACTTTGTTTTAATGCTCAGAGGTTGCAGTTTATGATTATTTGTTCAAGACAATGTTTTACCTTGATGGTTTTTTGCCTGGTTCATAATTTTACAAACTCCAAACAGCTCCGGGTGCACCCAACTGCTTCAGAATTACTCTGACACTAGTACCCATATGTATGGTGGGTTCTTCTCAACTAAAAACCTTCAAGCAAAGTCTGGGCCTACTAGGATTTTTTCTTTATTATTAAGCAAGGAGTTAGATATAGAGCCTAGAAGATTATTTCCAATTCTATGATTCCATAACCATAGGTATTCTTAAAAATTCATATAGTGCTGTCTATCAATAGTTAGTTAGGCATTTGCTAAGAAACGCACATGGCTAAAGTCTGCTGTCTGTATGCCTGTTTAAGCAATCAACAGATGTATTTCCAAAAGCTGTCAGTACATTATGAAGAGTGAACTCTAAATGGCATGTTAATGTTTTAGAATGCTCTGTAAACCTGTTAATGATATGCACTACAAATGTTATATATAATATGATGACAAGTCTCAGCTTGTCTCTGCTTACATCAATAAACCTGGCTTACAATTATGATGATAATAATAAATATTAAAATACACAGAACAAAGAAACATAAGACACAAGTGTAAAATTTGTGATTAAACCTGGCTGGGTAGGCCTGCTCAACTGGATGTGAATCTGTGATGCAATGCATGCATCCTTCCCTGTGTATATTACCACCTTACTGGAACAGAGGTGCCCTCTATACAATGTCTTGTTGCATAAAAGTCAGGTTTTTCACCATCTGTGCTCTAGTTATAACCCTTCCCATTCCATTTCTCTGAGGGTCTCTGTATACCAGGGAACCTGATTTGTAATGGGTCTGAGACAACATTTGGGAGTGATTGTGTCAATAGTCCTGATTAGATTCCGATTCCATATATTGACCAGAGATTCAACAGGATCATAGGTGATGCCAGCTATAGAACCCTTCAAGACCTCCTGGAATCTCAGAGGATACATTAAGCTTTGAGGATGGGCCATTTTAACAGGTTCTCCAACCCTGCAGGGGTAGTTGTAGCTATGATACTAGCTCTGATCAGAAAATGAACTGTATATGATAACTCAAAGGTGTGGATCACCTCCGCACACAGATCCATATGATC